GGCAGCCATTGTGATGAAGGACTTCACTCCATTTTTACAAGTTCTATTGGTTCAAGATTCAAGAACTGTTGTTTGGACTCTTTCAGGATCAACAACTGCTGCAGTAACGATGTGGCAGCATTTGCAGAGATTGTCAATGTATGGATCTTCAGCGATCGAAGGCATGCCAGTGGTAGCTCAGTGGCGTTATTGTTTCTCAATTTGTGAAGCCAGATGATTTGAAGAGGATTATGGCATTGACATTACCGAATAGTTTGTGCAAATACTGGGGACAAAACACCGCGAAACTGGCGTCCAGTTGAAGAATGCTTGAAATGAACTCAAGGTTTAAATTTGTTGCGGGTTTTCTAAACATGGAATTCACACAGTTGTTGTTTTTGCAATTTCGCATCCTCGCCAAATATGAATTAAACTGCTTTCCAGCTTTGTATCTGATAATTTGAAATAGTGGACTCAGCATACAGTGCAAAAAAAACAAACGATTTTTAAAACAGAGGGAGAGAGGGGGTGGATACGTAAATTATTCTGTTTTTTAGCTTTTTTAGCTCCAAATCGCATGGTCTGGATGCCTTTTTCTATGAGTTTACCGGTATAATACACCATAGGTTTTTGACCAATCAGAATGCAAGTACTATCTCAGTTATTTTATAAATAGAAATAGGCATTACAGGAGAATTCCCAAAAAAATCCTGAAAACACGCAATTCAGTGGCATTTCATTGTTATAGTGTTGTGCCACTTAAGGTGGCTGAACACAGTTTTGTCAGTTATCGAGTATGTGTCATTTGCCAAATCTTGGCACGAGAAAGGTTGCAGCTCACAAGCTGAAACTTGGCAAGTGAAAAATATACTGATGAAAGATTTTGATTGACAGCTAAAACGTGACGTTTTCGTAGTTTCCATGGCAACATGAACGATTGTATACAACCTTACAATTTCACTTTTGCTCAGTTTACATAATATTCGCTCATTAAATTTTCCTATGAACTTGCACACAGCTTACTATAATTAATTACCATTTGAAACGTATTTGACCAAATTTTAACATACGGGTGTTTAGATAATCAATAATATAATTGTACTGTAATTAAAAAATGTGTCACAAAAATTCGTCTGTTCAACTTCCATTTTAAAGTTCTCATTACTTCAAATACGATAGGAGTAAAAATTCTGCAAAATATCACAAAATTTTAATGAGTAGATTTTGAGAAAACGTCTTCTGTGTACCATTGCTTTTTTCGCCTCCAAGTTTGTTTGTCTAATTTAAAACACGCGCCGTTACGCGAGTTACCGCTGGCCGCCCGCAAAACTGTATTCAGCCACCTTAACCAGACACTTTGCACACGTATCCTCCGCAAAAGTATGAAATAATGAAAGATGGTAAATGCCCCCGTTTTCAGTCTTCTAAGACCACTATAATCTCCAATCATGTCCAGTGATTCCATATCAACCCAAAAAGGACATAAGTACTTCGTCCAATTACACAGAGCTGAGGGAGTATGCAATACTGAACATCATGCTATATGTACATGTTTTATACACTGGTCAGTAGTACCTAACTGGACTGGAATATCCGTTTATCGGTTTACCTTGCCATGATTAAATTAATGGTGATGAAAATTTCATTTGATATGGGAAAAACTGTCTAAAATCCACTGTGTTTGAAGTGTTCATACACCTTTGCGAGAAAATTGAAGAGGAATAGGATGACAATTTGCCTAGTCCCTAGGCCTCATTATTATGCGCAGCCGATATTACGTTTTCATTGTTGAAAGTCCTTTGGCCTTTGTTTTTCATTTATCTCATTTAACTAATTTGAACTTTATTTCAAAAAAATTATTTGATCAAGAATCGGAAGGTAAGCTAAAGAAATAAGTTTATATTTATTCTTGGATATATATTCTTTTGTTTCTCTATTTTCGCTTGCTCCTATAAATTTCTCGTTATCATTTCACTTCGAAATATTTTATGTAATTTAATTTTTGGATTTGGAAGCTTATCAAACTAATCGGACAGGCTCTTGAATTTGGTCTCTAAATTTGGTAGAATGTCAACAAACTACTGTTTCAAATCTTTTTATCAGTAAAGAAATATCATTTTAATAGTTCATTTGAAAATGAACTAAAAGAGAAATTACTTGCACGTTATACAGACTATTCTTTCCGATTCAAAGTAATATTTTTGTTCTTTGATAACAGAAACCAGGTTAGTGCCGATCTTTAAGCGAAGGATATTCACTCGCAAAGTTATTTATAGATTATTTCAGTTGAACGTGGGAACGTTTCAAAAATGCTCACGCATGCGCACTCCGAGATTGTCTAGGCGTCTCCCGGCCGTTCGTCTCGGATACGTCACCGCAATGGATTGACCGAGAAAGACCTGGAAAGACGCCGTATAGGGACTAGGCAAGATGACAATGATAAACAAATCTTACTTCCACATATACTTACAGAAACACCAAGGCTAAGGATAGGAGAGGGGTATTCCATACTGTGAACAACTGTGTAATCTTGAATATCATAGATTTTAACGTGCCTGCAAGAAAATGTTTTGGGGGGAATTTATCAAAAACATTAATGGTACAAGTAGCTGGGGCACGTTATAGCCAAATAACTTATTACAACCGTGACCCTATTTAACAATAGTAGCAATCTACCTACCGTCGATCTTCACATGATGCGACGAACTAAACTAATAAATTAAAAATTTGTACGATAATGTATATTTAGCCATGTTCGAGAATTCAAGATTTGTTTATTGATGATCATTTAACAACGGCATTTGAAGGCCCTGAAGTATCTTTAGTAGAGCTGTCCGTAACTCGCTGGTTTTCTACATGGAAGTTCAATTCCTATTTGGCTATCATTATCGTCAAAAACCATTAATGTAAATTTTTATCACCGGAAATAAGTTCAGAAAAACAACAGCTAGAATTTTATGAGATGTGTAATCAATGACTAATAGATGGATGATCCCTTAGATAATCGATGAGTAATCGAACGCATCAATTACCCAGTGATGACATCAATGAGTAATCAGTAGGCCACAAAATTTTTGGCCATCGATTAGTCTTCGATTACTCATTGATTATAGCAGATAATCCATGACTAATCAGTTGATTACCCAATGATTAATCATCGATTACTCATTGAAGTCATTCATCATCGATTGTTTATGTCTGGTTGAGAAGGGAGTGATTAGAGATTTCAGGAATCAAGGAGACGAGCGACTGTCCACCCAAAGCCATTGTCAACTCTGTACACAAAGCCTTACATGTTCCAGTTAGTGAGCAAGATATATCTACTGCACATCCTATTCCATCCTAAAATGCTGCTGCTCCACCAATAATAATTGTTACATTACCCTTCGAATCGTGAGGAATACCTTTTATTCAAATCGATCAAAAAACGCAAGAAAGCTGGTGATCTTGTGATGGTGTGATGTAAATAAACTAAATACGATAAATAAATACGGCAATAACTAATTTTATGATAATTAAAACCACTAAAAAAAAGGATATGTCAGTGAATATTCAGATTAATAAATAAGGATGGAACGTACTACGCTCTGGTTCGCAAGGACCACATTAAATATTTAAGGATAATGATAGTAGTGTAGAGGATGGTGGTTCTGTTACACCTTGTTCACAACTCGTAAGCCACCCTCCAGACCTCACTCGCTTGCTCCTTCGGTGTGAGGTGTGGCTTACTAGTTTCGAGAAGGTGTAAAAGAAGGCCCCCATCCTCTATACTACTTTTGGGTCAGAAGTACACCTACCATCGATAACAGAATCCTAAACAAAACAGAAACTGCTGAAACCGGTTGAAACCGGAACGCAAAAACAAGGTTATCGTTTCAGCAACAATCATTGTCACGTCAACTCCCAATGTTTGAAAGGTAGTTTTCAAAGAGGAAATAAAACAATTAGAGAAATGAATTGTCACAGTATAAGTATACGCTGGCTGCCGTGCTCTTTCAGAACAATGGTCTGGACATGTTTTACGGCCACCTTAAAGATGAAAACCTCCCCAACCCACTCGAACCTAAAAGAATAATTATTTATTTATGGAAGGCGAGAACAGATTTTGGAGATTGGCGGCAAGTATGGAAAATGGATGCGCCAAGGGCGAAACAGAGATATTTTAAATTTTGCAGAAAAAAACGAAAACAAGTTTGTTAAAATGAAAAATGAAAAATGAAATGCATTCGTTGGGCATGATAAAGGTAGAATTTGCAGTCGTAGTAAAAATGGCAAAAAAGAATGAAAATGGAGAGACGACCCATTTTACTAAATACATGAAAAATGAGGCATTGCTTTTTCAAAACGAAAATGAAGACGAAATCAGAGAAAAAGTGATGAAGCTCGTGGATGAAGTCAACAACAGAATTGAGAGTTGTGTCGAAAACGGGTCGCAGATACTGTTTGAAGAAGCTGAAACTGCCTAAGTAAACGTTTCAAATTATGAACCACTTCTTGTTGGAACATACATTCCACTCCCCAAAAAGCTACAAGATATGCAAGAAAGCCATGATCAACGTGCAGAACAAAAGAGACGAGTGTCCGAATTGGTTAATCTAAGCGAGATTGTTCCCTGCGCCAAAGGGCAAATGTCCATGCAGAACAACCAGTTATCCCACACAAGATGGGATCGGGATCAATTATTCAGGAATTGCTTTTCCAACCCCTTTCAAAGACCTCGAAAAGCTCCAAGTGCAAAATGAAAATATTGCGCTCAATGTTCTTGGTTGGAACGGAAGAGTGACTGTGTACAGAATAAGTGAAAACCCAAAAGAGGTTTCTCGGATAAACTTACTGATGACCACATCTGAAGATTCGTGACATTTTTCCTTTGTGAAAAGCATCAGCGCTTTGTTGTACGACCAAACGAGGCATGGAGGAAGGAAACACTTCTGCCATCGGTGTCTGTCAAGCATCACAACAAAAGGAATCCTGCAAAAGCACGAAGAGGCCAAAGAGGCAAAGGAATAAACAGCAGGCCAATGAGAACTGAAATGCCCAAACAGGATGAAAACCATGTTTTCTTTCGAAACGTGGGTAACCAAAGTACCCTTCATTATTTATGCCGACTTCGAGGCAATCACGCCGCACGTGGATACAAGTACAAGTTGGTGAAAAGCAATGGAGAAGCCACGGAAATAAAACTCTACCATAGGGAAAACGCTTTGGAAGAGTTTCTGAAATTGCTTTTCCAAGAGGAGGAAAGGATCAGAGAAGAACTGAGAAAAGTTGTTCCCATAAAAATGATTGGGAAGATTTCAACATTGCAACCAATTGACACATCTGTGAAAAGCCTCAGGTGACTGAGTCCTTTTTGGATTCCACATCTGTTTACGATCCCAACACGGAGGAGCACTGCCAGCAGGCACACAAAAGGTGCCATTTCAAAGACAAATTAATGAGGTCCAAATTTCAACGCAAACCACTCGAAAAAGTGGATTAAAGACAAATCAAGAGGATTGTACATACTGCTCCAAACGTTGCATTGCTCTAACTACAGACACACGTGAGGGACCACTGCCACCTGACTGGGAAATATTGTGGAGCAGCCCACTCTGCATGCAATTTGCAGCTCTAGATAAGATCGCAACAAGACCCTATTCCTATGGTTTTTAACACTCTCAAGGGTACGATGAACATCTCCTTCAGGAAATATCGAAAATAAAAGACAGGAAACTGGAGTGCATTCCTCAAAACATGGAAAAGTATATCAGCTTTTCTTTGGGAGGGCTCCAGTTCATCGACAGTTTGAACTTTTTGCAAGCATCATTGGATTCTCTTGTAAATAATCTTCCAAAGAATGCTTTCGTGCACACGAAAGAATTAGCAGGAATGAAGAACAGCGAGACATGTTACAACAGAATGGGTCTATCTGTACCAGTACATGGATAGTTGGGAAAGGTTCGAGGAAACCCAGCTGCCTTCACAAGCCCAATTCTACAGCTTGCTGAATGACAAGCACATCACGCAAGGTACAATTCAAACGTGCAAAGAAAGTGTGGAAAACTTTCAGGCAGGAGACCCTGGGGGATTACCACGATCTCTATCTGAAAACGGACGTCTGCTTGTTGGCGTACAGTTTTAAAAATTCTGAACCCTTCACTTGAAACAGTACAGGCTGGATCCAGCAGACCACTGGGACACAATGCTAAAAGAGATAGTAGTGCAGCTGGAGCTGTTGACAGATGTGGACATGCATCTGTTCATTGAGCAAGGGACACGTGGTGGAATCTCCATGGTGAGCAAGCAGTATGCAAAAGCCAACAACCTGTATGTGAAAGATTACGACCCAAACAACTACATTCAATATCTTGATGTGAATAGCCATTACAGTTGCGCCATGTGTAAACCATTGCCGAAGGGGAAGTTTGCATAAAAGACTGTAATGCCAACGGAGGGGCAATTATGTGCATGCAACACGCAAGGTGAAGATAGATTCTCGAGGCGGATCTGGAGTACCCGGCAAAGCTGCATAGAGCCTACAATGGATATCCACTTGCCCCAGAGAAAAAGAAAATCAAGAGAGAATGGATGTCTGCTTACCAAAAAACGTGATGGATGAGTTGGGGCTGAAACACAACGAAACAGAGCTTGTCTTGATGCTGGAAGACAAAAAGAACTATCTCGTGCATTACAGAAATCTGTAGTTTTATCTCAATCAGGGGATGAAACTCAAGAAGGTTCACAGGGTGTTGCAGTTTGACCAAGAGTGCTGGATGGAGCCATACAACCGAATGAACACAGAATTTCAGAAACAGAGAGAAGAACTTTTACAACCTCATGTACAATTCCGTATTTGGGAAAACAATGGAGAATGTGCAGAAGCAAGTTCACAACACAATTGTCTGCGGAGATGAAAGCGAAAAGATTTGCAAACTCATAGTGAGTCCCCTTTTCGCCGGTTGCACACTATTTTTCAACCATCTCGTCAGTTTCAGAATGCCCAAAGAGTGTGTGAAACTGGACAAGTCTTTTTATGCTGGGATGGTGATTCTCGATATCAGCAAAATACTGATGTACGATTTTTATTGCAATGAGCTTAAGAGCCAGTACGGGACTAAGTGTGAGCTCATCTATACTGACACAGACAGCCTCTGGCTGGAGATAAAAACCGACCATGTCTATAAGGACATGGAAGCAAAAAAGAATTTGTACAACACAAGCGATTACTCCAACGACCACCTGCTGTACAGTAGCGCAAACAAAAAGGTTTTGGGGAAGACGAAAGACAAGATGAATGAAACACCAATAACTGAGTGTGTTTGCCTTCGACCCACAATGTATTCCATTCTCACAGAGGAAAAAACATTAAAAAAGTAGAAAGGAACAAAAAATATGTGGTGAAAAAAGAGATACAGTATGAACATTATACAAAGAAGCACTGTTCACCAAAAAACCTTTACGAATGAAATGAACATGCTCTGCAGCGAGGGGCATGAGATCTGTGGGGAGGGGTGAACAAAATCGCGCTGAGCCCATTTGATTCAAAGTGATACATTGCACAAAATGGCATTGACACCTTTGCGTATGGATACAGATTAACAGACGAGGAGCTGCATGAGTATGTCATGGAGTTGCTGAAGGAAGAACAGAATTGGGAGGCACAACCAACAACAACTCACGGACAAAGCTTCGTTTGGGCCCATTCTTCAGATAATACAATATAGGTTTAAGTGGTTTGGTGACAGATTTTTCAATGTTGTTCACGTTGAGTGACCAAATAGGATCAGTTGCACGTTTGTGCCTGCCTTCCAGCTCAACCGTTTGGTAAGATAACGCACGTAAACAAGAGTGGGAAGTTTTCAATTCATTCCAACGGTCTGTTATAAGAAGTCACAGGCTTTGCAGCAACAGCTTTTTCTTTTATGGCCTCAGCAAGCTTTTTGCCAGTGAAGCAGTCAACTTTGCCGTTCAGAGCCAACGTCAACGACTGTTAACACATATCTGTAAGCTCTTTGGCCCCGCCCTCCGCCCAGACTGTCGTGTGAAAAAAAAGTAAGTCGGCTTGGTGAACTTTGTTTGGCGTGGGCATGTCAAACTTAAGCCGAGAAATGTGCTTTGGTGCAGGAATATCTATTTACCAAAGGGCTTGCTGCATTAGCCATTTTTTTTCGCATCATTTTCAGAGACTTTGCAGTGGCTACAAGCTTTTTGATGGCAGCGATGCCTTTCCAGTAGGGCTGTAGTAAATTCTAAAGTTTTTCGTGCATCCTATATTAATTTACGGTTTGAACTTTTGATTGTTCATTGCAAACCGACAGTTTCATTGGACTGCTAACAGCCAATTTCACCAGAACTGTGGTGAGCGTTACGAAAATAGCGACAAGAAGAGTGTAGTTACGCAACAGATGTGCACGTTCATGAACAAGGTTTACTGCTTTCACAATAAAAGAAACGGTCACTTGCAACTTGATCGAGACAATCACCGCTGCAAGTGCAGTCATCCAGCAGACCTTAAGCACCGTGAAGATATTCAGAGTAAGAAAATTGGCCATTCCTACATTATGACGCAGTTTGTCATACTTTCTACTTATCTGATTTGGAATTTCCATGCAGTGATCACTGATGAAGTCGCTAATCAAGGAACTCTTTTTCACTGTAGGGGTCGCCTCTGAGATAAAACCAGATCACATCAAGAATTTTTTTATACCCCGCACGTGTGAAGTTGGCTCTTTCGATTTTTTTGTCATCTTGCGCTGCCCCTACCACAATTTTGACAATTACGCCATACACGGTCAGAGAAGTGAACACAATGGGGTTCAAAGTAATGCCTCCAGCAACAGCTGAAGTTATCATAGCTTTGCCAGTGACAACGTTGCAAATCAGATTTTTTTTCTTTGGTACAGGTGGCACTGCTTTTTCTAGCTGTAATGGTTTTTGTGGTAATAGGTGTAGAGATTTTTCAACACATCACATGTCCCTTTGGACAGGGTTGTGTGGATGTGGTTGAAGTCAAAAATATTTTCCTGGGGGTGAACCATTGACACTATAACAAAAAAACCCAGAAAATTTAAGATTGAACTTCAAACAGAACCAACAAATCAGCGCTGGTTGTCAGGACCCTGAGGATAGGGTTTTCATTGCTAAGCGATATTCTTATTGCAAGTAATGCAATGAGATGCTCAGATCGTCAATTTCATGACAATTACACTGTCCTCAGTGCTCTATTCATTGACATCTTTCGTCGGGTATTGGAATACATTTTTCGCCCTATGGGAGGCTTTGATGGTGCCACTGTTACCTTTTGGACCTGGGGGAACCTTTGGTCTGGGCGGCCCCTGTTCATCTGTGTCACCCCTTGGCTCTTAAGCGCCATGTGGGCCTTGTGCTCCTGTATCACCCTTGGGGCCCTACTGACCTGTATCACCCTTGGGGCCTCGTGAACCTGTGCCATCCTTAGGCCCTTGAGCGCCTGTTTCGCCTTTTAGGGCAGGACCCCCTGTGATCTTGCCTCACCTTTGTGACCCTGTGCCCCTGTATAACCTTTTGGTCCTTAACGTCCCCCTGGGCCTGTATCACCTTTGGCTCCTTGTACCCCCTTGTGGGCCATGTGGTCCCTCTGGTCCTCACGGCCCCACCCGGTGGGCCTTGTGGCCTTGCGGGACCTGGTGGAACTCGAAGTTTCATCAATCGTGCTGTTGATGTACCCCATTATATAATTTCTTCGAAACTTTTTTCCTTGTTTCTTGCGGCTTCTCATGGTAAGACAATGAGTACAGTTTGTCCGTTGCTCTTTCGAAAATTTGTTGATCGATCCCAACTCATCAGCAATTCGGTGGTTTTCTCTTAGAAGGAATTTAAAAATACAAAAAGTACTGCCATCCATGTTAGCCATCTTTGACAGAGCTCATTGGGCATTGTTTATCTACAGCTTTATAGCTTCAATTTGGAAAAATCCTCACACAGCTCCTCAATAATCTGAAACGGTGTAAAAATTTCATTTTCCTCTTCTTCATCAACTAAAGGCTTTTCTCCGTTCGTGAGGCTTCAGAAGCACTTCATAAACCTTTACTTGCAGAGACACAAACTTGGCCCAAATAAAAATGCTTTCAATCTTCACGACCAGTTTGGCCCACCAGTGCTTGTCATGAAAATCAAATGGATCAACGATCTTGTCCTTTGTTCAAAAACGGCCTGTAATGTCATTGCTAAACTATGGCACCTTGGCATAAAGAACGGGTGATCTTTCTTTCAGGATTTTTCCATTTTCATCTTTTTTGTTGTAAAAGGGGTTCAGATCCACATTTTTGTGTCCCATGCTTTCCAAAACTTTTTCACAGTGTTCCATGATCTCTTTCATTTTTTCATAAAATTCCCTTTCTTCACTACCGAGTCCCTCTTTCCCCCACAGACATACTGACTCAGCTGTCCTTTTTCAAATTCTGGTTTTTTCGGATAACCCAAACAAAAACAAACCGGTAGTCTTGATGATCAATGACCCAGGTTCTTTACCGTAGTTGGTTGAAATTTTGATTTGTTGACAGGTTTTTATATGTTTGGGATTTTGTCGATGATCGGTACTGAAAAGAACATATCATTGACATTGTAGTTTTCGAGGTTTGTGAGCCTTGCCATTGTAATATGCAAATAAACCCAATTGTCTAAATGGGTTGACCTTTCCTCCTCATGTTGCTCAATTTCATATTAACTGTAAATGAATTTGCCGGTTATGTGAGAAAATATAGCTTCTACACTCTAATAATAATTGATTTTGCTACTTATGACGAAACAGCCGAAAGTGATTTTGGGCAATCTTTTCTTAAACAGCACAATCTTCTTGTGTTGGATGTACGAGACTCACCGGCAGTAGGAGAAGTGTAACCTTTACAGACATACAAATATCAAAGGGAAAGCCCCCACGGAATATGCAACCCCTTTTTTATTACCTTGAGTAGAAATCAATATTTGTAACCAAGGTACACATGCGCCTTAACACTTAAAATTTTTCTTCCCACAACGAAGGGAAATTTAAAGGTGTGTCATAAAACGTCCATTTAAAAAGGGGATAGAACTGTTGTGTTGGTAAAAAAGCTAATGCCTTCACAATAAACCAAGATCAAAGCACCCTGTTATCATAGGCCAAAAACCCCGCGGGGCTATGATAACTTGTCGATGTCCAATGTGGCAAACGCGTGAGTGGACTTGGGAATCCTTAAGATGGTGGTGGGTTGTTGGGTAGAGCTATGCTCATCCCTGCAGGCGGTGGAAGTGCCGGTTCGACCTTAAATCAGAGGGATAAGGGTGGGGGAACTCTAAAATTGGTGCGTTCCTGGAGAATATCTGCGACACCATACAAAAACAAAAATAATAACCAGAGTGTTCCTGGAGAATGTATGGGGCAGCCCACAAAAATTATAATAAAATAGAAAACCTCTGAAGACGGACTGGGTGGGGGTTGGGGATTGGGGTTTGGGGGTCCCTCTTGAGAGGTCTGGTAGCCACCAGTTTTGCTTTTATTACGGTTGCTTGTGAACCGGCTTGAACTGCAGCCATGTGAAAAATTTGTTGGTTGAGGCCTGTCTCGATAATTAAAGATACATCTTATTTTATTATAACTATGGATTTCACATCCCTTGTGGAAACCATGCGCTCTGAGGCGAAACAAAAACAGTCATTACAAGAATACCTCCAAAATACAAAACTTCTAACTGAAAAATGCTTAATTTTAAGAACGTATGGAAGCCCGAATTCAGCAGTTCCAGAGAAAGTCATCAAAGAGGATTTACAAATCGGTCTTCCTTTGGATAAGATTAGTGGTGACGGCCATAAAAATGGAATAAACTAGAAAATAAAAACATCCATCCATCATTCTAAAAAAAACCACCTCCATTTCAATCAAATCCACCCAGATTATCCTATTGATTACTACATATTTTGTTGCTATAACTTATGGGAAGGTAACATTGGTTGGGCATATACATTTTCAAGATCCCTTCGGAGGATGTATACAAGCTTATTCCACAGTATGGTGGTTACACTCATGGTTCATTTTTAATATTAAGAAAAATTTCAGAAAATAATCTCAAAAACAGAAATAGTGAGTTTTCTTTAAGACCAAACCCAAACTAAAAAAAGAGTTTAAAAATTATGGGTTGCACTTCTACAATACGAGGTTGAATACCTTCTCGAAAATTTCTAATGAATGCGCATTTGTTAAAACGTTTATCATTGTTTTTTGTACCAGATTTCTGAGGGGCTCCAATCGCTGTTAACAAGGGGCAACAACGTGCTTGTCGTCTCATCATCGGACTCTTCCCCTGAGTTGCTCTGCTCAGAATCACTTTGCTCCAACTCTTTCAATATTGAAAACAATTGGCCAACCCCCCCCTTCAACATCCTGCTTCAAATTTGTCGAGTCTATGATCCTTTGAAAAATCATTTCTTCACCAACTAATTGGGTAAACAAGTCAGATTTAAAGCTGTCCCTAATCACAACCTTTTCAATCATTTCATAAAGAAAAACTCTTAGCTGGCTACGTTTTGTATTTTTACGAATTGACTGGTCTAAAGTTTTTTAAGGTGGCTTGCAAAAATGGCCATGCATCCTGCCCATTAAAATTCTTTGAAAGGGCTCCCCCGGTTTGTCTGGAGTGATCATTATATGTACTGCTACATTTTCATCTCTCTAATTGTTTTTTTTTTCCTATCAGAAAACTACGGTTTTTATGACAATGGTGCATGCTGTTGGTTGCTGCGACGATAACCTTGTTTTGCATTCCAGTTTCAACTGGTTTCAGCCAGTTTCCGTCTTGTTTACAATTGTGTTAACGATGGTATGTGTAGTCCTGATTCAAAAGTAGTATAGAGTGTGGGAGCCTTCTTTTACACCTTGTTCACAACTTGTAAGCCCCCCCCCCCCCCAGCCCCCCCACACACCAAACGAGCAAGTGGGTGAGGTGTGGGGGTGGCTTACAAGTTGTGAGCATGGTATAACAGAACCACCACCCTCTATGCTACTATCAATGATTGTATTTCATGGAAATATCATATCTCATATATTTGCACGCCTATTTCCAAGGAATATCGGAATTATATCAAAATTAGGGCACTTTCTATCTGTTAAAAACTTAACATCTCACATACAATTTTGGCATGGAGTAGCACCTATCACTTGCACCTGAAAAAAGTGCAAATTGAAAATCTTGTGGCTAGATTAATATTTTTTTTTCATGGTAAAGATACCGAGAGTGCTCCCCCATTGCTGAATTTACTAGAAATACTCACGGTAAACGACGTTTATTCTCTACATCCTTTAAAATTTACCCATCTCTGGCCTAAAAGGTTTACTACCTGACATTTTTCGCGATACCTTTCTTTATGCTCGCTAGATATGCAACCAATCACAACTTATATAAACCTCGCGTAAGAACAAATAATAACAACCAGATGTTTTTATTTAGGACAACTGATGTTTGGAAAAGCATTCCACAAACCTTTAGAGAATTGAATGAGTACGCTTTTTTTAAAAAAAAAATCGAACATTATCTACCGTCCGAGCAATTATTGTCGAGACCTCACCTTACCTATTTCTGCCTAAACTGCCTTCTTCTAAAACTTGTCCTTGTTACTTTTTTGAAATTTTTCGTATTTTACTGTAATTGAAATTAATTGTTCTTTTCTGTTCTATTAATTCATTTATTTCATTTTGCTTTGGGTTCCTGCTGAAAAGCGCGATTCAAAAACACAAACAACACGCGTAATCTTAAAAATTAATCGAGACGTTGAAATATACAGCCTGTATTACTGCTGTATCTTCCATCATTTGTATTTGTTAGAAGAAATGTAGCGCAAATTCGGTTACTTCTCTTCCTCTTCTTCTTGGTGTGTCTTCTGGCGTTTGTGGTTCATAGTCCAGCCCAGGCGCGAAAGTTAAAGTGAAGTCAACGATTAGGGAGAGTACAAGGGGAACAAGGTAGAAAACTTCGGTCCAGCTTTTGTGCAGCTGTGTAATCCGAACTACAAGCGTAAAACAACCCAAAACCACCCTGAAAATTTTTGCAGTTACCAATAACAGAAGCTGAAAATTGTAGTCGCTAATTTTTAGAAAATAAACTCGTGCATACACAAAGCGTGTGCAAGGTATTTTCGCTATCACGTACCTTCTCTATTATTTTCTAAACAAGGTATTCACGAGTCACCCATAGTTTTTACTTTGATTTAGTTTATGACCTACAACTGCTACATTGTATTAACAACAGCCCATCTACCACTGAATGTGGCTACCGCTTTTCTTTTGCAGAATACTGTAAAAATATGCAGTATCCAAGAGGCCCGTCTTATGGCATTCAATGCCACCCAAACGTGTATGCATACTACATGTCAGCTATTATCGGTTTGTTTTAAAACACTTTACTGCATTTGAAAGCATACCTATCAAGTGAACCAGAGAACAGATGTCGGTGTTCTCCATCTAAAGAAATGGATGTAATGGTTTTCTGATGGTTTGAAAATCCTGTTAACAGTCTGCCACCTCCTAAAAGATCCCATACTTTTATCATGTTGCTTCCTGCAACAAAACAAATAGAGGCAATCTTAATTAATCAAAAGCTCTATAGATGTTGAAGCAATCCATATGCAAAACCCAGAATACACGAAAAAAGGATGTAGAAGTAGGTAGAGAAGATCCAGATGTAATGCTTGTGAATTGAATTTCATAAAGTAGACGCTGTTTTTCTACTCAGTCCGGAGTAGTCAATCGATAAAAGTCAGTATTGATTTATCAATCAATCAATCGATAAAAATCAATAAATTTGATTTGATTGATATTGATTGTATTGATCAATCGGTAGAAATTGATGATGCACTCGTTTCATTCATCAATTCATCTTGATTTTCACCGATTTCCTCGATTTATATCAGAAGATACATCTGTTCATCAAAAACTGAAAACAGAATTCATGCAAACAGTAAATTTATTGGCAATTGAGTAGCAACTGAGAGTCGAAGGAAAAACACCCTTCAAAATAGTGTCGGTGTAGTTCCGGGTGTAGTTACATCCCAAATTAGTCAGACTAGTCAATAGATAAAAATCGAAATCGATAAAAATAATTAGCAATCAAGTGATTTTTATGGATTGATAACAGAAAATGGTGGAAATCTGTCGAGGAAAATCTTTTAGCCTGAATTTCGGACATCCCTTCGACTTGAAAGAATGTCTGAAATTAAGGCTTAGGTTGTATTTCTTGTGATACTTACCTGCGAGAACTGAACGTAAGTAGGCCGAACCGTTGTTGTTATGTACAAAATAAAGAGTTTTAGAGAGAAACTTATGTGTGTAATAGTTTCCACATTTCTCTTTTTCATGTTTGCTGATTAGTTGTTACTCGTAGATGTTTTCTCAGCTGTACTATCTAACTCATGCCAAAAAACAATTGCGGACTTCCGTTATAAATTGTTCAGTCATGAAAAATCGATCATATTGATTTGACACAGCAATTATGTTTATTGATTTTTGCCGATTTTCGTTATCAATCGCTAAAAATCACTTGATTGCTACCGATTTTTATCGATTGACTACTCCGGGTACTCAGTCATTAAAATTCGTACTATTCTTGAAAAATATTTTAAAGATACCACAAATACTACTAGGTATATCTTCGGGTAAAGTGACAACGAGCAAAACGTTTTTGCTTTGTGCAGCAATCCAATGATGTTTTCTGAAATGCAACATTGAGAGTTTTGTAGTCCCCTTCTGTTGCTAGGATTATTTTAAGATTCCTGGAGGTTAGACTCAAGGCCATCTGCATTTGCAGATGGTGTCATTTCTGGGTCTTTTTTAATTTTAAGGAGGCAAATGCTCATTATTTGGGCGGAGCACCATATGGAGCAGTTACAATAGGTCTGTAA